TTTTACTATAAATGCAAGTCTTTCATTGGTGGAGAGGTTGCAATGACGTCATTAACCAACCCTGGGTCGTTCAAATCCTGTATAATCGAAAACGCTATTAATCTTGGAAAGATCCCATCTTTTAACTTTAGTCCCTAATGTCCTAAGGCCGGGCCAATGAGGTAAGTCTGACGTCCGACGCAGCACGAAACCGCGCGAAATAATGGTTTTCGATTTTTGTAAAATACGAAAATGAGTGATGCTGATTTAATTGAATGTGTCCAACAATTCGATGTTGTTTGGAATAAAAAAATCCAAATTATAAAAATAAATTAGTGGTTAGGTTTTGTTACATTTGCACATGCGTAGTCCGAATTTCCAGGGAAGCATAAACGAGTCCTTAAGATTAAGTTAAGATTAAGACTAAGATTAAGATTAAGACCGAAGCATAAACCAGCCATGACTCTTCCTATTTTGACACTTTTTACAATATCGCTATCAATCGCCATATGCAATTACGCAATCGCATGGAACGCATAAGCTGCTGCAACTCAAACTTGAGGTAGCTGATGCGTGTATTATGCGCTGCAGGTGGTGGGGATCTAGGGAATTCTAAGCGCTGTTCATGCGCGCATTAAGTGAAACGGAACGTTTTCTATGTAATTCGTGCGCATAATGTGCGAAACGGAACGCAACCCTAGAGTTGCAGCAGCTTATGCGTTCCATGCGATTGCGTAATTGCATATGGCGATTGATAGCGATATTGTAAAAAGTGTCAAAATAGGAAGAGTCATAATGGAAGAGTCATTGATGATTCACCACTTTTACTGTCACTTATTTCATCAATTAAAAACATTGTCACATTGATAGCGCAATTTATTGTGGAATCCATTTTGATTTTCCGCTTCTAATGCGTTCAATATCGTTCCGTTTCAAAGCATGTATCATGCGCATAATGAAACGAAACGCAGCCAATGCGCTAAGCATTAGCGATGCGAACGATGCGTGCTATGCGCAAAACGGAACGCAACCACTATCTTAAAGACAGCGTGTAGACAGGGCATAACGCACACTATTGTATGAATTAGTTATTTCCGGCTCCGTTGCCACACGGTGTCGCTACAGATTTTGGCTACCAACGTGAAGTTGGATCTAGCGTTCCATTTTTTCATAGTCAAAGCAGCAGAGTCTAGTTTCTTTTGATGGAAATTTCGAGAAACTAATATAAAGCAATACTGATGACATACCATTCTTATTTTGTCGGTTTATTACATAAGGTGATTTAAGAATCGCATGCGATCGCGCAATATCTCGTTTAGTTGATTGAACATTGTCGAGCATACAAGTTCACGTTAACGCACTGTGAAAAACGTACTATTTTTTTACGCAAATCAAGCGTGCTTTGAGGAAAAAATGCCGCGACGTGGACGTGCCGCCGCACCTCCTCCAAGAACGTGAGTTGACAAAATGAAGAATTTAATTTCGATCTCGATAATTCCTTTGTCATGTGAATTTCTTGTTACATCATGGCTGTAAAGTTCATTATCTTCAATATAGAATCTTAAACAAAAGTTACTGTCCGATTATTCGAGCACATCGTCGTCTGCGAACATAATAGGTAAATAATCAAATTTTTTTAGTGTCAGGCCCACTGCAGCTGCACCAGCCAGGCCTGTATCAGCTCCAGCCCAAGTGCCAGCCCATGCACCACCGGCATCACCAATGGTGGCCCAGCCGCAGCAACCGTCCCTCATGGGTCAAATGGCGGCCACTGCTGGTGGTGTAGCCATCGGATCTGCTGTAGGACACACTATTGGTCATGCAATGACAGGACTCTTTAGCGGAGGATCCAGTGAAGCGGCTGCTCCTGTTCCTGCTGCAGGAGTTGCACAGCAGAATGCTCCAGTTTCAGCTCCGGCTGCTGGAACTTGCTCATGGGAGGTTAAGCAGTTCCTAGAGTGCGCCCAGAATCAATCTGATTTGTCTCTCTGCGAGGGATTTAATGAGGCGCTTCGTCAATGCAAAGTAGCCAATAGTTAGTAATCTTATCTCATTGTTATTAATCTTCTGTCATCTTTACAGCGTAGCTTTAATAGATTTTTAATTTTTTTTGTTTTTTGCTTTCAGATCTGGTCTAAGTGACAATATGAGAATTTAGAAACCTCTAGACGAAATTGAAGTATGTGCTGTATGATCCTATAGATTATTTGATCATTGGATGAAATGTTTGTTTATTTTTATTGTTATATACATCAATATTGTTAAAATGTAAAATAAAATAGCTTTAAATTAATCTATATATTTCAGAATATAATTTTGGGACAGCAATAGATTATGTTTACTTAAATTTTGTTTTTGGCATCTGTCTTCAAATTTTTCCTGATGTATATGTGAAAATGTATATGTTACATTAGTATAACTTGAATAAATTAAAATAAATACAATTATACATTTTGAAATTTATGTTACCAAGAAAATTATAGAAACTCGATGCGTTTTTAGTTGATTTTTAAGAATATACTAGCAAAAAATTAAGATTTGTTAGAATGCAAACAGAAAAGATGGAAAATTAAAATTGGTAAGAAATACAATGCATTTTTTCCACTTTATATTACAATACATTAAACAATAATTTATTACAGACGGTGAAAATAGTTTCTGTAGGATGGTACACCGGAAGAAAAACGGCAAATAAAAACTTTGATATATTCTTTGAACAAAGTAAAGTAAGCGCACCTCTACATGAAAGTACAGTATTTGCACCTTCTTTATCATAATTCTCTCTAATACTTAGCTATTATATATTGAAAATCAGTGTGTGATTTACGAATATATATTTATATATGTATGTTCAGCCTATATACCGCGATTATATCTATAATACGGCTCTCTTTCTTTAATCGACAACAGGAGGCAGTTAAACATGCACAAGTAGCACGAAAATGGTAGACTATCTTTTCTCTGTGTTCAATACACGCATCATCACGTAACCGGCGATTGTAGCAACCGCGATTCCCAGTCCTGCTTTCCACCAGACCAGAGAATCTCCCTGCATTAGGCCGAATTGATTTATGTGCCTGAAATTCGAAGTTAAAAATTTTAATTCGTGAAAATGCGCGAAATCATTCTGATTATTTTGGTAAAACCACAATGTCATACTCAAAGATCTTAGTTAATGTAGCAATACAGAGACACAAATACTAATGACAACCTAATTACATTGACAATGAAGTTTTACCATATCACATGTAACACTTAATTGATAGGGAAGTATTTGCTCTTAGGGTATTCAAGCGTAAAAAGCATCTTAAATTAAAAGTTTGTGAGCGATGTGAAGCATGCAACATGCTTGGGCGAATAAAAAGAAACGATGTATACGCTATTAAGCTATGTGACGCTGCGGGGCGCGAGGAAGAGAAACACAGGCAATAATACGAAATAAAACCTTGTGAAAGAACTCCACCACTGAGAGGGTGAGGGTTCGACAAGCAACATGTGGACCATACGCCTCAAATGGCTGAAAAGAGCCAATACGTTGTTACGTATAGTTTCATCCGTGCGACGACATCATTTTTTTTTTTTCTGATATGAGCAAATCGACCGGCACATTTAATGTGAAATGATGGAGTTAACCCGTTAGCACATGCATCGAGAGAAATGTATGTACAATGACGATGATTGAATGCAGTTTTCACGATTTGCTCAAGCCTCTAGATTTTTACAAGTGTGAAATTGGAATTCGGACCAACCTGTCTCTGTAAAATAATACCCACGCTCCTTGAAAGCGGCTAAACACGAAATATCTTTTTGTTAATACCGAATTGTTTTTTCTGTTTTTTTTAATACATATATTACGCTATCTTTCCTTAAATTAAAGTACGACAAAAAACAACAGGGAGAAATATCGGAATAAGGTGCGGTAAGAAACGCAAATCTGTTGCCTGAACGTAACTTCGCGGTGTACAATATTGTATAAAAACGAAGAAACAAGCGAAAAAGCTCTAAGAATCTTGACGTAATCGGTGTATCACTTTCAGATGTATCAGCTACAAAAGAGAATCATCTACTGTCTGTAAACCGAATAAATCCGAGATCTGTGGCAGCTTTGTCGTTGGTATTCTTAATCTGAGAAAGTTGAACTTACGGGAAGGCTGCCATCGTGGCTAGCTTGACGAAGATTTCACGCCGGACCGTGCGTGAAATGCTGTAGGGTTGCGGAGGCATGAGTTTATACTTGCTGCAAAAGGCAGTCGGCTGCAGCAAGTATCCCTGTTTCACCTCGGAAAGATCGCTTTTGTTCGCTATTATCAGAACGGGAATCTTACTGTCGGCGAAGTATTTCTGCAAAGGCGTATAAGTTTGTTCGTAAATGCCGTAATTCGTGGGACGATCGTGTTGGATACTCACGATATAAATGCGCGCTATGTATTCGAATGATTTCGGATTACTGGCGTCGTAAACGAGAGCTGCCGCGTCGCACTGTATTTCCGCCGGCGTTAATGCGTCCTGCACGTTCAACACGTTTATGTCCTTCAGCACCACCGTCTTTTCCTGCCCGTATACGTGCAACGTATTCACAGTGACGTGAGCATTTGATGGTACCACTTTGTCGTTTAATTTCTGCAAACCCATATGAAAAATTATAATAAAAGCGAGGCTCTCGAGAACTTACGAATAAGCGACTTGCCTCAAGTTTAGGATCGATAAAAGTCCTGCATAACGTAGTCTTCCCGCTGCTCTTCGGACCAATCACGTGACAGGTGTAAACATTCCTGCTGGATTGCTTCTTCGCGAGATCGACTTTCTTTTCGCGAGTCACAAGGATCGAGCTCGTTTGACACTCGTTATGGTACATATTGTACCCCAGGTAAGCCATGTACTCCAAGGTTTTGCGCACATTCGTCAGCGTCAGCAGCGCCCATTGACACATGTATCCTTGGAACGTAAGCCAACCCTGTGAAAATTGTATATTACATGTTGGAACAAATTACATTATTTAAAATTACATTCACATCTATTATTTCTCCGGCTCTCAAAAGTAAATGTACTGATTTCCGTCTAATTTGATGTGTGCATCAATTTATATTTATTTATTTCTTAATGTTCCGAGAATTATAAATATGTGAGCGCAAACCTTCTCGTTCGTGGGTACAGTGTATTTGTACTCCTCGCCCCATGGCGGAACAAGACATCGCGAGAACAACGATTCCAATTCTAGTGGCGAAAGAGCTCCATCACGATCGCGATCGTGTTGCATGAACAGTAACGTTAAGAACTCCTGGCCCTTGTGCGATAATTCGGTGGTGCAGCCCAATGGAATTTTTAATCTAAAACAAGGTTATTTGACGTTAGTTAAAGTACTTGAAGCAGCCTTGTGATTTTTATACATACGGAGGATGGATATATTCTTTCGACATTTGCAGCTCGTTGTCGTATCCAAATTTTCTTAATACTGCCCAGGTCGTTTCGTTCCTCCCGCGTTGTATAAATAAACATTGCAAATACATGAAACCTATTGAAGACAATTGTACCAATGACTTGTGTACATCTTGTTTAAGTATTTCAACATGTTAAAGTATAATTACGCACCTTTCATTGTGACACAACCGTTACATACACCGTCGCAAATGTTTTTCGACAAAACAGCTTTTACATCATCCAATACTTGCGGTTGCAGTGGTGTATTGAAGCACCACTGCTGAAATGCATTCAACTCTATATCGTTTAAAAGTCCATCATTATCCACATCGCATATCTGCAAGAGAAAAAATTAATGATTCAGCAGATTAAATAAAAATGAAGGGGACAAAGGTCAAGTTGTGTGGAAAAAAAGGTCACAAAAAATTAACATTTTAGGAAATATTTCATTTATATAAAGTTTAAAAAAATCTGAGACGCTTTTGTATCTACAACGTATTGTATACTCACTTTAAAAATTCGCTGTAGGGCAGTTTTGCACTCTTCCGTGAGCTAAAATAAAAGACATTCATTATAATTGAATCTAATCAGAGAGTAGATTAAAGAAAAATAAGATAAACATTACCTCTTGTGTGTCATAATTGTACAAAGGTGTGGTTGGATGCAAAACTGCCTTTTGTGCATAATAAAATGTTTCCGAGACATTCTGAAGTGTTTTGGCTGAACACTGAAAAAGAAATGAAATCTTTTTTCGTACAATCTTTCTCTTTATTTCTGTAAATTAAACTGCAAGATCTTACCTCTATGCAGCTTTCAATCTCTGTGAACTCTTTCATAATGGGATATACAGCCTGGAATTGCGATGCAAGATGAAAAGATTACACAAGCGCAGATATAAAATACAGGTACTATCGGGAATCTTTTTGGGCCTACAAACCTCTATAGTGGAATAATCCACAAGATCAATCTTATTGCCTACAAGCACAACCGGACACCGATTGTCAGGCGAGCATCTTCTGATCAATGGTAGCCAATAGCTGGCAGCTCTGTCCAGAGTATCCTCATCGTCAACGGAGTAAACAACGCATATCACATGTGCCTTTTGTATTTCCTCTGCCAGCTGATCGTCTGTTTGCTCTACCGCTGTAAACATCGATGCTGGTATTAACACGCCAGATAGAAAAGGTAAACAAAATTATGGAGTTGAAAAAATACCCGAATAGTCGACTATGTTCGTCGGCACTTGTTCCGGCGTGACGTCTGCCGGTATCGTGATCTCCTCAGCCTTGCTGGGCACTTCTTCCGCATATTCCTCGCTCACCAATGACAATATCAGGGAAGTTTTGCCGACACCACGTTCGCCGATCAACAGTATTCTGACATTGCGCCGAGGCGCAACAGGACGCTGCACCATGCTGCTGAAGCACCGATAATTATCACGCACGGCATTCGCCGCTTAATTCCTCGTAAATGACATCCTCGTTTCTTTTTTTTTCTCTCGCGTGTCAGAGGCACCCCAGTGTGATATAACCTATGCAGAGCACCGACAACGCGCAGCACCCCCCGGTAAGCGTCGCCGAAAGCCGCGACTTTCTTCACAGTGACATTTCAATAGCGATGACGACGGTGAGAAACGCAACCGGAATCAGCGAAACATCACTCGATCTATACGTCTCTCTCGCTCTGAAATTTTCAGCGATACGCCGCGGAAAAAATAATTTCGCACCTCGCCTTAATACCTCATTCAGACATCGAAGTAGACACAGATCGTTGCGGTTATAATTGGAGGCTGCGGCGAACTCCGGCGTATTTAGCGGACTAAAGTAGTAGCGCTTCGAGGTGGCCTTTTCAAGGTTACTTATGCCACCGCAATGAATGACGCTGTGTGTGTACTCGTACGTTCATACGCGTGATACGTGGTGCTGTGTGTATACATTACACAGGTTCGCTCGTTCACGCATTCTGCACCTCGTCTCTCCTTCTCTCCTGAATACTTGACATTTCTCTTCGGATGAGAAAACCGGGAAGATGCGGCTAGAACGAACAGACTTACGATAGCCAAATGGCTGCTTTCCATGCTCACGTTTAATGTCGGAAGGGCATATTTCCATCATCCCAATATTAGGGAAACAATGGGGAAACAAACAATTCTGAATAAAAAATATTTATGTAAATCTAAAGCTTCACACGGTTGAATAAAATATATTATGTAAAATGTAACGGAGCTAATTTTATTTTAAAAAATCAATATATTTCTATGGTTATGCTCTTTTAACATCGAGTCGCAGTCATCTCAATGTTATTGATCAGCCGGTGTTCGACTGAAGTTCAACTAACCGCAAAGTAGACGTCGTACGGCTAAATACTACGAATGCTATTCATGACGCGGATTTCTCTTATAGGAGTGTTAATGCTTTTTTGTTTAGCGAGAAGCATCCGCGGCCAAGTTTACCGAAATATGTCAAGCTTCGCCGGAGCCTCTTCTGTAGCGTACGTCACGGTACCGGATGATACAGTAGCGAAGAAAATAGCGCGGTAACGATATGCAAATTAACATTTAAGTACTAATGTAATTATTTTGATCTTGATAATAAATATTTTTCTCATGCAGCGGTCTTGTTGAGAATAAACTCGCCGCCTGCGTTAACATCATCCCACAACTTACCTCGATGTAAGTCTTTTGTTTTTACATACAGTGCTTTATATTTGCGAAAAATTATTTTTAATTTATGGTTACTTTTAATTAAATCATAATGTTGTGCTCATATTATAGATATGAGTGGAAGGGAGAAATACAAGAGGATTCTGAACTTCTATTAGTAAGAAATGGATTGAAACTTTATGCTGAATAACATAAATGTAAAATTTATAAATATTTATTTATGCACTCATTACAGATGATAAAAACTAGAACAGAGAAAATAGATGCTTTAACGAAATATGTAAAGTAAGTTAACAATAAACTAAGTTAATGTACTTGATTTCAAACTAAAAATTACACTTTTAACTTGATTTTTCAACAGAGAGAATCATCCATATACAGTTTGTGAAGTGATTTCCCTGCCTGTAAGTTAACTTTTCGTTCAAAATAACTTAAACTAAGTAATTTAAAATTCTTTTGACAAAATTAGTTCTAGAGTATCAATATTCGACATAACACAATATATTAAGTTTAAGTAACATAACAATTTTGTATTTATGTTTTAGATACAAAATGGAAACGCTGATTACATTAAATGGATCAATGAAGTAGTTCCACCACTTGATACCCAGACTAATTAATACAAATAAATAAAATTCAACTATTTTTTTTCACTATTTTCAATTTACCTAATATTCAGAAAATTATATTATTAAATAAAAGCATATTATTCCTGCTTGTTCTAAAATTGTGTTTTAAAATAAAATAAAATAAACTAAAATAACAATAAATGATTGATGAAATTTAACTAATAAACCATACTACATGATGATTTAATCTACAATACAACAGAATCGTCAAATATATATGTTGATCTTCATTAATTTACAAAAATGTTTACCTTGTGTGCATAAATAATAATAAAAATGATGTACTTTACTCAGATAAAATATTAAAATAAATATTGTATTATAATTATATCAAGTAAGTATTGTTCAATTATAGTAATTTAAATTGTGCAGTTTAAGGTGTATCATTGGTTCTACAGATTCCACATTAATAAAATTTCAGATATGTATATTCCAATGCACTTTTCTTATGAAGTAAAATTTAAAAAAATAAGCGTGCAGATAATATTTATCATCATTTATCAAACATCGTTAAATCTTTTTTTTTAAACTAATGTATTCTAATTTTGAATTGATTTAAAATGATATACATACATATGCAAAGATAATATGTATATACAGATTTCAGACTTATGTTTTTGCAGACGAAAATTCTAATGCCAAAATGTCAAGGCTCTCTCTCTACAATAGTTTTCAAAGTTTTTAAATCGGACGTGTCTGAGCACGTCAAGTTTTGACAAGCGAGCTGGTCAACTTTAAATGCTTTTTATTTGAGACTATTATAGCTTCGGCATTTTGGCGTTAGAATTATCATCCCAAAATCATTTCAGCAATGTGCCATTTCATTACACATTGCGTTCGGTTTAGGACACCCTGTATATACAAACAGTATCCCTACACATATATATATATATATATATATATATATATATTTGTATATATTATATATAGGGTATTCCATGGGAAGTTGCTGAAACTAATTAGCTGTCATTTTTAAACACACAAGGAGCAAAAAAAAATAAAATCTTCCAACAGTGGACATAATGCAGTTTTATTTATGTATAAACTAAAAACAGTACTTTTGTCATTAAACAAACGTTTATTAAAAAATGCCAAATATCGCTAAAAAATTAAGTCGATTTCAAAAACCATAATTGTAACTGTAACTTTTGTCACATAAAGTTTTTTATTATTTTCCAAAAGTAACTTAATCTTTGTTGCAATTCGGTGCGCACTTCGAAAATATAAATCATTAAAATTAGCAAAATTGGGCATTTTTTATAAACGTTTATTTATTAATAAAAATATTTATTAATAAAAATATTTAATAATAAAAATATTTTTGATTGTTTTTAGTTTATATGTAAATAAATGTCCTCTGTTGGACAGATATTTTATTTTTCTTGCTCCCTGTGCGTTTAAAAATGACAGCTGATTAGCTTCAGCAACTATCCATGGGACACCTTGTATATAGCTATAGTACTGTAATATTATATACGTAGTATAATATACTGTACTGTATGATAAACATAATATTTACTATGAATACACCATGGATCTTTCAATAATTGCTTTCAAAATAAAATTTCTATACCTAAACTATTGATTCAAACATGATTTAGTAATCGTATAAGAAAATAGCAAATAACGTACCATTAATTATCGCTCTTATAAACGGGATAAAGCAGCGATAACACCGATTTTAACGTTTCATTAACATTCATTTTGAACGTTTCACCTATTCTGTAACGACATTTAGGACACACCTCCTGCCATGTAAGAAAGCTCTGCTGTAAGCACTTGAGGCAGAAATTATGCGCGCAAGGAGTTGTTACAGGATGATTAACCATTTCCAGACAGAAAGCGCACTTGAATCTGCAAAATTAGATTGTATTAAGCGTCGATTTTTCTTACTAAGATTATCAAGACAATAATTTTCCATGAAGAATATTACCTTTCTGAAACGCACTGCAAAAAAGCCAGCTTTCCATCGCGCAGTGTCTCACTACATTCAACCCACAGTTTAGCATTTTGTTCATCACTTTCTATTAAACTTTTCAATTCGTCGTCCAAAACATAGGCCTCTTGTTCTAATTTCAACTTCTTACTAGATGGACTCATATTTTCTTTCGAGGCTGTAGCGTTTTCTTCGTCGGACCTAGATCGTTTCTTATCATTTGTCTTCATTGCTTCGGTATATCCGTCCGGATATATCATCTTCAGACCGAGTTTAGCCATTCTTTCTTTACCTTTCTTGGTCCAAGGCGCAGGATCTGGATCGTCCCTCCGTAATAAATATCTCCACACACGAAAGCCACTTTCGCCCTTGGTAGGGTAGTATTTCACCACTTTATACAGACCATCATATCTGTAGCAAGAAGTAAAGTTAAAGAATTGTTGAAGAACGATGTGTGCATCTTCTTTGCCGTGGAATAAAACATTCAACATACCTGTTACCTTTTTTTGGCGCATATTTACTATGTTTTGCTAATTTATAATTGCGCACCACTCGAACTGGTATGCCTTCCTTCCAATTCTTAGCTGTCGCGCCGTTTTTTGCGTTTAACGGAGCGTTACAATTCAAAGCGAGTGCCTTATTCATTCTGGTTAAGATCTGGTCACTGCTCTGTGCAGCGGTTCTTTTGTTGCCTATGTCATGAAATACACATATATTTCAAAAAATTCGGTCATTGCACTGGAAGTAATATTCGGAAAAATAAATTCAGTGTAAATTTAAAATTACTGATCTCATTACTGATACATTTCGTCGATCAAACTGCAAAAATTCGCAATCACACCTTTCGCTTAGATCGCACGGTTCTATAAATTGATTACATTTCGAACTTGACTCCTTCAGAAATTGTTAATAGTACCTGATAAATCTCTGCCACCAGAACCAGTATACATAAACTCATCGCCATTATCAACATCGTCCTCATAGCCGCCTGACAGAACGATAGAATATGCACAATCTGTTTCTCGTCCGTGAATACCGGCGACATGTGGTCTATGCACTCCTGCTTCGGAGACCTAAACGATTTTATTTCAATTTTTTTGTTCAATCAATCAATTTAATAAAGAACTATATAGAATCCAAGGCATTCGTTCACCTGTATTCTAAAGAACCAAGACATGCCAACTTCTACCCCCGGAATTTTACCACGATGATACGGCAAGACAATGTCACATATCTTTGTTCTACCAACACAAGCCATTCCCCTCCCCCAATCTCTTTTCGGTTCCTTATTAGCTTGCGTGGATGATTTTTTCTTAGATTTTTTCAATTTATCCCCTGCCTATAATAAAACCAATGTTCTTGCAATGTCATTTACTTATGCTGTTTCCCAGTACTTTCATTATACTTGATATTAAATTATGTAATCATGCAAACATATATTGAATAAAAATGTCGTACATATAATATAAAATGAAAAATATAGAGATTCTAGAATGATAATGACAGAGATCTTGACAAGTTATCGATAAATGTATACATACTTTAACAATTTCATTTTCATCGTTCTTACATTCAGGACAATACCAGTCTCCCTCTGGAATTACTTCGAGTGGTGGTTCCAAACATGTCAAATGATATGCATAGTCACATTCGTCGCAAAGCAAAAGTTTATTTTCATCTTGCTTGCCACCGCATATATTGCAACCACAATCTTTACAATTTTTACTAGGTATATCTTTGCACGATGCACAGTAAGGAGGGATAGATCTGCATTTGCTAGTATCAGCCATGAAATCTTCATCTGCAATAGTTCTCTCTGTCAATAACTTAGGCGTTTCTATTGCATAAATTCCTTCCTTGGGATTGACTATTTGTACTTCAAGCTGATTTTCACTAAAAGTGAAAGCAAAAAATAAGGAATTATAATCCTTATAGCCAAGGATCAAAGATTCCTAACCCCCTCACCAAAAAAGGAAAGAAGAATGGGATAGTTTATGCGCCACTATATTATGGTGGTAACAACCTGTTGGGAACATTGTTTGGAAATATGTAGTCTTTATAATTAATAATATATAATGTGTAAAATATACCTGCTTATGTGCAATAATCCACTCAGCTCTTGAAACGTCCTTTTTTTATTTAATTTAAATATTGTAAAATCATACCACAGTCCAATTTCTTTAGGTTCTTCTAAATTATAATTAATCATCACTTTTTGACCAATGAATAATTCATCAAATGGTATAAGACGTCTTGAACGTGGTCGTATAAATAGTTCAGTCACAGGCACATCGCTAAATTCTACAATATACAGTATTTCCTCCTTTTTCTTAACAATATTTTGTAATGTAGTTTCATACCAGGCACCATTGCATTGATAATAATAGTCTACAGCTTCTCCAATCTTATAATATAAACTATTGACTAACTCTTCTTTCACATCTTCTGTTTCTTGAACTTTCTCTTCTACTTTGTCTTTAGTTATCTCTTTCTCTTCTGTTGTACTATTCTTACTAGTTGTTGGTTTACTTTCTGAATTACTTATAATTGGTATCAATTGTATAATATCATTCAACTTGATTTTATAATCGTGAAGAGTGTATTCATCTTGTAATATCTTTCCAAGATAGATATATTTAAACTCATCTGCCTTAATAAACAGTTCTTTTTCGATTTCAAGCTGAAAACATAAAAATTTTTAAACTGGGAGTGTTAACAGTACAATTTTTTTACAGTATCCATATTTAGATATATTAATTTATAAAGATTGGTGACACAATAAAAGTAAAATTAGTTATTCAATTATCTTTATTTATCTCTCCTTAAAGTGATTTTTACTTTTCTTTTATTCCTTTGTAATACAATACACAATTATAATTAAGATATTTTCTCAAATAAAAATATTAGATTGTTCAAAAAGTTTGTAGGAATTTTTAGAGAAAATTCAAAGACAATTTTTTATATATAGGTATATTTTTAATGTATTGGCTTTTTTTCAATAACTCTGTCATCTTTTAAGCAACTTCATAATTTCATCCTTCCAGAACTTTCTATCTTTCTGAGAGAAAAACTACTTAACCGCTGATTTGCTCAATTCCTATAAACTTTCTGAACAATCGATCTCTGTAAAACTCAACAACATATTATACACATAATGTTTTCATTTAATATCCTCATTAGTTAATAAAATTATTCATTTATTTTGTTAAAACCATCACCCATATGTCTGACAGCCCCAGTCAAACTCATGTTTGTGTATCAATCATATGAATGACATGTCATATAAATAACATTGCAGTTAAGTGATCAATAAAGCCAAAAATAACTAAATTAAATTTGAAATTAAAAGAATCTGAAAAATTTATATTGCTGATTCTTGCAATAATACATTTATTAAAAAAATGTTTACAATTATTACATGTTTTGACTGACAAGATCTTGATGCGTGCAAAATCAAACTAATCCAATATTTTAAAATCTATGTAATATAAATCCTATAATTTATTTTAATTCCTGCCAGTTTTGATTTAATATAAATATTTCTTAATCTAATTAAAAAAACTTTTAAATGTGCAATAAATTTATATATTGTAAAAAATAACAGCCAAGATTCTAAATCTATTATTATAGGAAAGAATGATAGAAATGATAATATAAAGTCTTAAATTATTAAAATTATTTTGTACAGAGTATATATAAATAAAAGTATAAAACATTATTTATAAAGAATAGCTTATATTAATAACGCACCTTTACATCTTTTATTGTGCTCAGTCTTGAAGCAATATTTATAACTTTTACTTTTCCATCAACCGTTCTTATTCTGAAATACATCGTCCTCAGTTACTGGTGGAAAATTCAAAAAAAGCAGATGGAAAGTATTAACCACCGTCCAACCGTCTCCCAACTCACTGACTGATACAAAACTACAGCTGCCTGTGATAATTATTACTTATTTAGGCGGGAAAAATTTCCCTTCTGTCGTCACAAGAGCCAACTGTCAAGCTTATATAAAATTAAAAGTTGGTAGCACTGCCGCACAAAGGCATTCTGATTATATATTTTGTCGCGGATTGGTTGATTACGACGCGAATATATCACGCGATTACGCAATTTTAAATGAATGAATCTTTACAGTAACACCGGAAGCGGCAAGGTAACGCGATAACAGGAAACCTATGATTCGAAACAACGATTGAACACTTCGGAACTTTCGTCCGCGAGAGAAAATTCCTCCTTCAGTGCCCCGCTCGCGGTACAACGAGAATAAATAGCGTATGATTCGCGAAGGTTGTAACGATGTTCGCGCGACTTCGCGGTGCCACGCTTGAGGTCGCGAGTGCCGCGGCGGTGACGCCATCGCCATGTTTGTTATAGTTCGGAGGGATGATAAGCGAACGCGACAGCGTCGTGATTTGAATGAAACGCGTGTGAGCCGTGCCGCGGACGTCCGTTCGTGCCGGCGTGCGAGCGCGTCGGCCGCTCGCTGACTCGCGGAACATGGTAAGCAGTTGCGGGTGTTGAACGCCCGGCCGGTCTGTGCCGCGGCCGGCGGCCGATTTTCGCGCGGATTTTCAGGTGTTCCGTCACGGTCGCCCGCTCTGTGGTCCGCCGCCGTCGTCGCCGCGACGCAACGTCGCACTATCAAAGCTCTCGTGCATTTGTGCAAGGTAAAGGCCCTCGGGTTACGCATCCGCCGTCGTCGCGACGCCGATCGGCATGAGAAATCTCCCGGCGAAATCGCCAAAACGCAAATACACGGGCATTGCGCCGCATGTAAATCGATATACCGCTCGTATTGTATATGTGTCGCGTGTGTGTATGCGTGTACGTATAACACAGCGGTGAGTGCGTGTCGCACGCTGTAGGAAGCCAACCCACATATGCGCGCGTCTCACGCACACAAGCGCACCTACGGAACGCCCCTTTTTGCGAAACGATCGAACTTCTTTCCCGCGCAATCTTGCCCGGCGCGATACGTCGATAGCGCGCACCGATGTCTCGAAAGATTCCTCTCTTTGAAATTCACAGTTCTCTCGCGAGTAAACTGCTCTTATCACTCGAATTTTATTTTATTTTTCCGTTTTATATACTTGCGGTATTTTATTTACTCCAAAATCTTTCTGATCGATTTACAACATTTTTGATATGTCTACATATTAGGTTCGTGTGTGTTTTTTCTTTTTTAATATTATGTACAACACAACACAGAAAAAAATGAAATTTTAGATTATTTTTATAATTATGTCACAATTTTAGATTATTTTAATAATTATGTCACAATAATCTTATTTACATGAAGTACATAAATTCATAAAGAAATGTTGGAGCTGCATTTGGAACATTTACTGAATGCAATTTTATTTTTAAATATTAAAGAATTTCTTTTCAATTTGCATACTATTATTGAGCGAAAAGTTCTCAAGTATATTAACTTTTTTGAGCAAGATTTTTGAAAGATTTTATTATTGATTATGATTTTTTATCATTTTAGGCCTTTATAAGTAAGCGTTAACAACCTTGCTGAAATGTGGCTAAGAAGTGAACGAATTAGTAGAAGATTGCGCGGCCGTTTAAATTTAAGCGGTATAACAGCGTCGAAAGCAACCAGTCATCGAACACAAGTTGGGACATCACGGAAGGTACCGCATATTGGCAACAATAGTCGAGTTATAACATCAAGTAGATGCGGCAAATTGAATCAGTGGCGACGTAGATCATCCAGTTTTCTAAAAGAAGTGAGTTGAACCTTATTTACAAAAATAACGCATAAATTCAAAATATATTTCTTCATATGTGTTTGCGTAAAGTAAACAAGTGTATAAGTTTATACATAAAAAATGTATAAACAAGTAGCAATCACCGGTTATAAAATATCTGGCAACCGAGGATATCGAAGAGATTGTTATCTTTTCAGGCTTGTAAAGAAAATGTTATACATTTTGCCAAATCCACGCCTATCAGACGAGAGAGGGGACCTCGCAGAAGAAAATGCATAAAACGCTCAATGGTTACGTCCACTCCTTTGCATCGGGCTCTACCGATAGATGCAGTTGTAAGCTATATTTACAATGAAAACAAATCCCAACGGTTTGCGCGCGATGTTAATGCAATATGTGCGTTTTGCAGCCTATGAAAAATGCATCGCCGTCTAAAGTTTCGGAGGAATCTAAGGAAAACTGGAACGATGCGTCCACTTTGCCTCTATGCTCACCAGTAACTAACACGGACTCGCGTGGTCCAATGATACCGCCAGTGCACGACTTGAAATCTTCCATACCCAGCGTATCTTCATTGACCTGTGTGATGCCTCCGGTATCTTTAGGATCGCATTCAGATCTCACATGTTTACTAGATAATGAAGGAAGCAAAGACAATGGTATTCCTCGATAACACATTTTTACGATCAAGTCGAAGTTGTGCCAAAATTATATGCATTTTCCTCTCTTTTTTTTCGCAGATTCCACACTACCATCATCGCTACACTATTCCTCCTTATATACGCACGCCGAAACATCCGCAGAATACTACAGTTTGATGCACTCGACATCGATATACAATGGCCGTACCGCGTACAACTCGTCCGACAAGTACTTCCCGAACGGAGGAAAGTACTCGCTTACCGATAACAATGAAAACCGCAGTGATCTCACAAAAGATCAATATGCTATTGAAACAGACCCAACAAAATATGAAACAACTGCTGGATATCCCGGTACAAAGTACAGTATACCAGCAAGTATGTACACTATAAATCCTCATCATCCATCCGATACAAACGGCAACTTTAGTGACAAATATGATTCCGAGGACGTCGACAGTCGTTATCACGAGGCTGAATGCATGGAGGTGGGTAGCGAAGAGATAGTAGAGTCTTGCGATGTAGAGAACATGGTTACTCAAGTTCAAGAGGACTGGGAGCCGTTCGATCCTTACGTTTTCATCAAGCACTTACCGCCGCTCACACCGGCGATGAGAGCCAGATGCCCGGCTCTGCCACTTAAAACCCGAAGCAGTCCGGAATTTAGTCTGGTTCTAGACTTGGTACGCTTGATCGACATATCGTGTATTGCGCACATCCGTACATTCATGACGTAGAAAAACGTGTGATAATTGGAGAATCCATCTTTTCACAGGACGAAACACTGGTCCACTGCAGCTTGCAAGAACTGTCCGACGCGGCGTTCCGCTTCCCCGTCGTCTTTCAGGATGTAACGTATACGGTGTTCGTGAGAACGCGACCGTACTTCCGCGAGTTCTTGGAACACGTCTCTTCCCTCTACGAAGTGATTCTGTTCACGGCGAGCAAGCGAGTGTACGCCAACAAGCTGATGAATTTGCTGGATCCGACGCGAAAACTGATCAAGTACCGTCTGTTCAGGGAGCATTGCGTCTGCGTTAACGGAAACTACATCAAAGATTTGTCCATCTTAGGCAGAGATCTATCTAAAACAGTAATTATCGACAACAGTCCTCAAGCGTTTGGATATCAGGTAAATCGATGGTTCATTATATCCAATACAATCTGAAGTTGAAAAGTGCACTTAAAAAGCTACATATTTTTTGTGTTACAGCTGGAAAATGGCATACCTATAGAAAGTTGGTTCGCCGATCGTTCGGACAACGAGCTGATGAAACTATTACCGTTTTTGGAAAACCTGGTGAGCTGGGTAAGTTCTTATCACTTTGCTGTGATTCTAAATTTTTTCTTAAACAAAATGTCCACTCAAATTAAAAAGATTTCTCAGATTCTTTGAGATATAGTGGACACTCTTTGAAAATACAATTTTCTTTTAAATTTAAATTGTTTTTATCGCAGGGAGGCGACGTAAGACCGCACATTAGAGAACAGTTCCGACTATTCAGCTTTCTACCACCGGATTAATTTAAGTAGCGTGCACAAAATTCAACGTTGTCTGAATTATCTCTCTCAGCCAGCGGAAAAGAAGATACAAAATATATCTTAAAGATATTTAATAGAATAAAAATAATAGTTACTCCGCGATGCATAGCATAAGCCGCTATAATACTATAACACTTTACAATGTTTCACAAATGGATATGCCTGTTGGTATGTAGAGATAAAATTATAAATATTTCTAGATTTTCAAATGTTTTAATTCATTGCTCGGAAAAAGACATCTTTGGGACAATGTTGGATACACCGCGCGTTTTGTTCACTCGTTTAGACTTAAAGCCAAATTAAAAAAAAAAATCAAGTCTTGTATAATGAGAATATAACGAGAACATATAGTCTTGTGATAGTTTTCTGTATAGTTTCTATTAGTACTTCCAAATGAGTACCAAGTCTCTCCATGACGTGATTATATGATCTTTGTATATAATGGACTTGTATCTTACATGCGAAATATTGTTTGACAATTTTATTCTCTTTTTGTACTACAATACTTGCGAGCGATATCGTGAACATGATAATTCCAGTCTTTTCTGCGTCACCAGTGCGAACCTGATCTCAATTTATTTATCTTACTTTTTACCCGAAACGTTTTACTTCGAAAGTTTCCCGACGTTACATTCATCATATCATAATTCTCTGATCTGACTGCAAATCGCAATTGTTCATTATCATCACAATTTATAAAGTCTGCATCTATAGATTGCAATTCTTGAAAAAAAAAAATTATATATATATATATATATATACAAAGATGTTATAAATATCTGTCAATAATTATATAATTATATGTATTATATAATTATATAGTTATATACGAATATATGTGCTATATTATAAACCTGTGTATAATTCATAGTGTAAGAAGCGAATAAACCGAATTCGGTATAAAAAAAACAGAGTTAGCAACATAATGTAACAGAAGGCAAAAAAGTCTTACATCTCGTAATGTTTATCATAGTTTAAGATTATACTCACATTATGCACAAACACATAATAATAAAGCAAACAGATTGTTATTCGTGAAACTACTTGGATCCATATATATAGCTAATTGCCCCAAACGTTCTTTTTTTTTTTTACATTACGAATTGCGGAACGTTTTTTTATTTTGCGTGTTACTATAAATTATCACTGTAATGTTTGTTATCGAAATAAATTAATAAGAGTATATTTATGAGAAGTGTAATATGAATAGGCAGATCACTTGATTTGCGTTTCAACAAAGTAACGACTGAAACGCTGGAGACAAGAAACACATTGAATACAAATTAGATCTCATATTTAAAAAGATTATGGTGAATTTTACATACGGTCACATTATCCACAATACATACACTGAGAATCATTGTCTCTCTCCCGAATCTGCATGCGACAGATACAATGGAGAATGGTGTATTGACTAGAACATTTTTTTCTTCCCTGCTCTACTTCGTGCAGTACATCGATAACATACTTTAATTTAACAGCGCGCTTAAAACGTATATGTACATTATACTATTACATATATCCTAATATATAAAAAATAATTATATATAAATATATATGAAAAAAATTATAAATATATCACCAAGGAACGTCGATACAATACAACTGTGATGGTACATCATCACATGGTTTTTTTTTTTTTTTTTTACTAAAAACGAGACCTTACACCCCTAATCGATAGCCTCCGAAATTGTGCTTCAATTTGTTCTATATGCAATCTGTTTGCATATGTTATTACTTCAACTCTTGCACTCCAGCGTTTCATTAGTCTGACTGTCTATAGCTTGAGGAGAAAAAAGGCTGAAAAATGTGATGTGCAGTATTACGCATTTAAAAGAAACTATCTGATTATGGAATGATCAATTTTAATATATATCTCATGTTTACGATAACAACGAGTTGACATTATTAAGTTGTACTACATATCATGCTTCAACACTACTCGCACCTCAGATATACCAATCTTGCAGTAAGAAATGCAATCGATTTGTAAGGATATATTTATAGCCTTTGTCATTTAGGCCAAGAAAACACTGGTTCAAATATTATTGAATATTGCAGATATTTTCTTTGATATGGTCATCTTTAATCGCATCGGTCGCAAAGCATAGGAATCTTAATTTTTGATTGATGTAATCGGTGTACCGCAACTCGATATATCTGAAGTCCGAGTATGGTTCTATCTAATCCTCTGTACGCTGGAAATACCTAATCTCGATGCGTTTACAGAGATTCACAAGCTTCTCATGACTCTGCACGATCTTAGCCAGTTTGTTGTTAGGTAGCGGCGTCGTGATTATTGTGAATATGTGACCAAAGACCAAGGCATCCAACTCGTTGGGTTTACTAGATACAAAATCATGCGTTAAAATCTTGTTACGTCTGAGTCGACGTATTTGTAAAAAGAAAAAAAAAACTTATATATTTACTTAGGCTATATATGCATAATTTCAATTCATCGATAATGTAAAAGAATGCTCAGAAAGGGGAGGGAGCGATTCGGGCTGCGATTGAAAGCCGTCCCACAAAGTATCCTTAGATGGCGATTCGATTATTTCAAAATCTTCCACAATTTCGTTTTGTACTCCAGAACTAAAGTAATGATGTCTAATTCTCAACATGTGCTTGATGAGCTTGGGAAACTGACAGATTGTTTTGATGATTCCTTGATTCGAGGGAAAGTTAGGCGATGCGAGAGTACAAATGTGACCATACATCAGGGCATCGACTTCAGTGGGACTTTTCGAACACAATTGTAACTTATAAGTGATCAGGCAAATGAACCATAAAGCATTGTATAATGTAGAAAAGCTACTTACTCTTTTCCAAAGAAAAACTCTTCATCCGCCAGCCTCTCAGACAGTGCTATGCAACACTTTCTTACATCGTCGTAGACCTCGTCTAAACTTTTGTTATACCAGCCAAGTACATTGAGCTTTTTAATGACTTCTCGCCTCTTTTGCCAGTTTAAGTAATGATTAAGTGGCCAAGGATACACACTTCCGTGTCTTTGTTTCGTGACTGCATTTAATATCGTTGGATCCACCCAACAGATGTACAATTCCGCGTTTACAAATACATTGTTCACTAGAGACAGGTACGCTCTCATGTCCACCTTGGCTGCTGGATCCAAATGATCAGACAGACTTACTCCTTTGGTACCAATGTGAGTCACTATTCCGTCAAACTCGGATATTAGCTTTGTGCCGCATTTAATAAACGGCACACGACCCGATGGCGACATGAACTCTGCATTTTTCCTCGGTTCAATCTGGAAATCTAACTGACACATTTTTAGGAAAGCCTGCACTGCCAAGCAATTTGCATTGTCGGGAAGCAAAATTTGCTCCACTTCGTACGGTTGATACAGTGTAATCGGTTGAGGCCATGGCTCCTGTGCTGCAATAGAAAATAAAACAGTACAGTTGCAAGATGGTGTTTATCTTTAATGCAATGGTTATATAATCGCAGCTTACATATACGACATGTATAAAATTAATGACGAGTGAGAAAACGAGATAGACAATTTGATAGATAAGCTTGCCGAAAACGAAAGGTTTGTCCTTCGACGCGATTCAAAGCGGCGCTACGATTTGTACAAAACCACGCGCACTTTGTTTACGAAAATGTAAGGTTAGGTCGCACAAATTCGTCGAAATATTACCGCAATTTGGATAGTGCAACTTCGAGATCTTACCTTCCAATTCCACCGCGATCGAATCACTTAACAGTACTTGAGGCATGTCTATGACAATTGTATTCATGCGACGATACGCTCTTTTTCAGTGTCTTACGATTCGCAATTGATTACCCGCGTAAAACCGCCACAAGCGAAGGCAGCGAAAAGCGAAATGTAGGACGCGCTTCGTGTTTGTATGCGTTTGTATATACGGATTTTACAGAGATCGTAAACAATTACAATTTATGCGAAATAACGGAAGTTAATTGGACAAAAATTAATTGGACTTTAATCAATTGCCTGTCTTTTTCAAATCTTGCCTACAAAAGGATTCTAATTCACAATTTTTCATTCCGTTTCTCGGAAGGAGAATCCGTTCTCCTAGGCTGATAAATCAATATGAAATCGACGTGACAAATTCTCAGTCATAAAAAATGTTTATGAGCTTATAATTTTTGTTCACCAGTAGCTTACTCTGTAAATCTGTCTGCACAAATTTGTCTACAAAAATTTTTTCAGCTTCTTTCACCTCGATCTGAAATAAATTTATTCATTTTAAGTCAGTAATGATTATTTCTCGCAATGTAAAGTGTTAATGTTGAAAATATTTGCTAAAAAATAACCTTCGAAAATTTAACGCCTGATAGAAAAGCGTTAAGGATGCGCGTATACAATGACAGACCATTTTTCTTCTCGTTATCTAAAAATATGTTCTGGTAGGCACGCATCATATTTCTCAGTAAAAAGAGCACTTTTTTTATTGACAACTCACAATTTTTATAGATATTTGATGCCGTTCGATACAATTTGCTGAACAAATTATAACAAATTAAATTTTTATCACTACGTGATTCATGAATAATATCTTAACTATCGCAGTCAAAAGAATATTAAATTAATTTATTAATATTTTTGATTGACACAAGATTTAATGCGGATTTAATGGTAATGATAGCAGAATACGAAGATATTTCAGAATGTGTCAATCTGAATAAACCTACAGATTTTTGTTTCGCTTATCTTTTATCAAAGTATATATTTGTATGTTGAATTATATATAAGATTTATTCCAATAAAAATTTAAGTGGTTACTATTAAAACAATGATTGCGTGTCGCAAATTGGCTCGTTCACCGCTGTACGTTGGAGTAAGATTTTAAACACGACGGAGCTTACCACGAGACTTTTAAATGCCGAATTGATTATGATTGATTGGAATTAATTCCAGAATGCGATTGGCACGCGAAGATGACGTTTATTGCCTTGTTATCGTCGAGGCTGCACACAATTTTGTCGGCCTGGAATTTTACCACATGCTAAAAAATTGAACGCAAAATCGTAATATTCGTAGCTACTGTAATTGCCAATTAATCGTAATTTTAAACATATTTAAAAAAAAGAATATATTTACTATCTAAAAGTCGAAAAATTGAAAAGAAAGAGAG